CACGAATTATTTCGAGGTCACAGTTCAAACATTTAGTCACAGATTAAAAAATTTGGAGGTCACGGATTATTTCGAAATCACAAATCAATAATTTTATAGGTCAAAAATTATTTTATTGGTCACAGATCAAAAAATTACAGACCATAGATTAATTTTTAGTCACAAATTATCGAATTTTGAGGTCACAGTTAGTCCATTATACGATCACAGCTAGTCTAATCCCACCGTCAACACTTGCGACCACCGCATTGGTCACTTGCGAAGTCGCCCATCGCACCACCGTCGGCATCACCACCAATACAACACCCACAACGTTACAGTAGCACACCACTGCCACCTCCATCGCACCGCCACCCTCAACCCCATCTTACCATTGCGGCGCCACCAGATCTAGCCAAACCACCGTCACCGCAGCATCACAGAACTCACCCAGCCACCGCACCACCGCCACATCGACAGTCCGCTACTCGAAACCGCCAACACCCCCACAATCGCCATTACCTCACTGTCGTCGTCGCGACGTCCACCGTCGTCATTAGCACCACAACCACAAACACCATTTCCAACAAAAAACTCCACTATCGTCACAACAACAGAGCAATCGCCGAAAAGAACAAAAAAATCCGACTATGTCAAAAGAACCCACCTTCCTAGGCAGAGATCTTGACAACAGAAGATCTCCTCTTTTGACGGCATGACAGAGCTCAAGTTGGCTGTTGGCAGTGGCGTCGATCCTCGCCTTGCAGCGTCGATCTCGCAGTTGACGACGCTCTCTTACAGCGGCGCCGATCCTCTTCCCACAAAGTCCAACAACACCGATCGAGGAATAGAGAGAAGACGGAGTAGGTGGAGAGAGAATGAATGCCGACTCCTGTGGAGAGAGAAATAAGAGAGACGGCAGGCTAGGGTTTTGAGAGAGAGAGAGATGAGAAACCGAAGGAAGAGGTGGGTGTGGTGGAGGATAAATTAATTTAATTAATAATATGTTTATCTAATAATAATATATTACTTAATAAAATATCTGATTTTTGAATTAATAAAACTTGGATCTGATTTTGGAAGTTGGATCATGAAACATAGGGTTGGTGTAATTTCCACTTTTTTGGACGGTGAGTTTAAAATGTAGGATTTTTTTTTTTTTTAATTTGTACATAAAATTATTATATTAGGAGAATAAATTGATAAAAATGAGTAAAAGGGAAAATGAGAATTCTGGAGATGGTACTCAAACAGGGTTTTATATTTCCTATTTCCCAAACCCTTAAACCCTAGTTCACCCTCTTCTCTCCTCCGCAAGCTCCGAGCATCTCCGCCTTTGGACGCCTCGGCCGATGGCTCTTTATTCACTTCGCATCCGCCGCGCCCTTTCTCTTTCCTCCTCCCTCCATCACCTGCTCTCGCCCATCCATCACCCCATACCTATTTCACCAGTCCCCTCTCCTTCCACCGCGCAACTCAACACTGCCACTGCCTCCGTCACATTCTTCAAATCGAGGCGTCAATTCACTTCTACTACTCCACTCTCACTGTCTTCTCGGGGTCGGCCATTCGACCCGGAGACTGACGAGATAGGGCCCGACACCATCCTCTTCGAAGGATGCGACTACAACCACTGGCTCATAACAATTGATTTTCCCAAGGATCCCCAACCGACCCGCGAAGAAATGATAGAATTTTACGTCAATACTGCTGCCCAAATATTTGGAAGGTCCCACTTCAAACCCTACCATATCTTTCTTTATGTTTCTGATTGTTTACGTGGATGTATAAAAGTGTTAATTCTTGTATAAATTTTCTATTTTCGGCTCACAGGGTAAGTGGAAATTAAGAAGAAAATGGTATTTATGTGTACAGAAACTTTTTATGATATCTTCTCTAAGTATTAGTTTGATTAATTTAATCATGTCATATTGGAAATATGTGCGCTGGAATGGTGTAGGGAATTGAGACCTACTCGATTAAAAAACGAATTTAATTGGAACTGCTTCTCTATTAATATTTTACCTCGGTTAGGATTTCGTTATAGTCTCTTCTTGCATCTTATAAATTGCAGGGAATACATTAGGGTTCTATTGTTTGCGGAAATGACATGTATAATTATTATAATAGGTCTATTGCTGTTTGTACCAATTTAAAGTTATACAACTAGTGTGTGTCATGTGCAAATGACAATGTGAATTTATATGAATTTCTGACTTCTAATAACTGAAGTATGGAACTAGGATGAGAATATATGACATGCATGGAAATATCCTTTTTGTTATAATGACAATAGAGTCAAAATAAAGGTTCACATTCTCCCCAATACTGGTTGTTATAGCATTTAGATTTGATAATTATTGGAGGACTTGAAAAATGTAAGTAATGTGTAAGATTAGAGCACGCAGATGAAATGTGTCAGAAATTCTATGTGGTCAAAAATTAACCAGGGAAGTTGCACTGCACTGAACAACTGGTAAAAACCAGGCTCCATTTTAAGCATTGGGCCACTAAATGGCAAAATATCCACAACACGAACATAGTAGAAATGAGAATGTAAAGATTAATGCATTTTTACAAGAAAATAAATAAATAAATACCTAAAAATTCGAAATGGCACCAAGTAAGGATAAATTAATGGGAGACATAGTTTATATAGTTGGTGCAATTTATTATATAGACCTGAGCAAGCTCTCATTCACAAGAGGACAGAAGTCCCAATAGAATATGGAGTTAATTTCACCCATGGCTACCGAATTTTTCACTTAGCCCCCGTTTGTCTCCATTTTTAAAGAGTTTTTGGAGGAAATGATTTTTTCAATAGTGATTTTTTTGGAGAATAAGTTTGGGTTTATATGAAAAATATTTTGTTGTGTGAATGTGTGGTTTAAAATGAGTTTGAGAAAAAAAAGTTGAAAAAAAGGGAGACAAATAGGGGCTTAGTGTCACCATGACCATTGAACTTGCCACTTAGTGTCATCATGCCTTTGGAATAATTTATTTTCTATAAAGTTCGAGTAAATAGCATTGAGGGCCTCTAACCTTTGAACCTTTTGAAGATGGGTCTTGAACTGTTGATTTTTAGCACCCGGAGTTCCAAAGCTTTCAAATGTCAGTGCCTGATATTCTTTTGCAACAAAAAACGTTAGTTTAACCCATAAAATATGTTAAGTTAGAACCAATGTTTAAAAATGCTCAATTGGGTATTGAGGTATATCTTAGCAAGGGGAGGCATAGGGCTTGAGGTGTAAACCAATAGAAATATTAGAAAGAATATTGAAGTAAATAAACATGCATAAAATAAACTATAAACAATCTTAAAAATATATAATATAATAGGTAGCTTAACTTACAAAACAAACATAATATAATATAGATAAAGTTCTCGAAGTAACAAAAAAATGGTAACCTACTATAAGAAGTACAGACATCTAGAAGCGTCCTATATCATTACTATTAATACAATACTTAAAGAGAATCATATATTTGATTCCCTGATCGCCCTTCACCACTATCGGGTTTTTCTCATTCTTTATTATTGCCCTCCACTTCAATGTTGCACCCTATTTTCCCATTCCCTTCTCCATCCGTCTAAAGGCATAAAAGACAAAATAAAATAGCCCATAAAATGTTCTAGGATTTAAAGGAAATAGCTCAAAAAACTTGAGTCAGTTATAAAATACCCAATAAATAAAAAAACTGAGCTCACTCCTCTGCTATCCTAAGGCATAGCCTTGAGGAGTAAGCCTCACTAGTGGCATTGAATGGGCGTCGAGGTGTTCAATGAAAGCCTGTAGCCAACTCCATTTCATCTTGCTGTTTGCTGTTTTATTGCATAAGTAGTAGTGGCATTGTTCACATTGCAATGCTTTTAGTTACTTTGGTTCAAACGGTTATGACTTTCACCTTTTTATTTCTGTATAATTTATCTTCCTTCAGCGTGGAAGAGGCAAAGAAGAAAATATATGCACTAAGTACAACAACATATCAAGGTTTTCAGGTTGAATGTTCAGAGGAAACATCAGAGAAGTTTAAGAGTAGGTCTTCTGCATTGCTTTCATGAGAAATTACTGTTACCAGTATTTGTTCTAAAACTTTTGCTGATTTTAGATCTACCCGGAGTTGTATTTGTACTGCCAGATTCCTATATCGATCCAGTAAATAAGGAATATGGAGGTAGGACTACTACTTGATCTCATTTATAACTTGATTTTGTAATCTTTCCATTAGAGTTAAGTTGATTGTCTTGGTTTTTATATTGAGTTCTTGTGTTGTTTAGGAGATAAGTATGTCAATGGAGAAATTTTTCCTAGGCCACCCCCGATACAATATGTCAGGCATAACAGAGGCCGGCGTCCGAGAGAGCAGATGTCATACCAACAAGGAAACACAGCATATAATGACCTGGGGCCCATGCGTGGGGAAGTGAGAAATCATGGTCAGAACTATGGCCCACCACGTCAGCAGAACTATGGCCCACCACAGCAGCAAAACTATGGCCCACCGCAGCAGCAGAACTATGGCCCACCACCGCAGCAGAACTATGGCCCACCACCGCAGCAGAACTATAACCTGCCACCGCAGCAGAGCCATGGCTCGTCACCACAGCAGAGCTATGGCCAGCCACCAAATTTTCCTCCCCAGCAGGGTTATGTTCCATCGGGATCAGGTGAAAGAAGAGGTCCTATGCCACCAAGAAATGCCCCTGGCGGGTGGGATAATGGCAGAAGAGATCCAATGCCTTCATATCAGAGCAGTTATAGTCAAGGAGAACCTGGAAATTATCGTGCTCAAGGGCAGAGAGACTTCCCACAAGGAAATCAGTGGAGCCAGGTACCTCCTGAGCAGAGGGGGCTGTCACAAGACACTCAGAACTATGGACCTTCAGAAGGTGGGACTTTTGAACGGGGACCAGGGGGCGCTCAGGGACAAGCTTATGGACAGAATCAGCCACGGCATGGAGATGACCAGAGAAGCAACAACCAAGCATGGGAGCAAAGAAACCTTTCATCCATGGGGAATACTATGACTGACCAAGTGAGATGATTTTCTCTTTCATCTGTTGTTAGCAGTCACCTTTAAGTGAAGAAATCCCGGTTGATGGTTGTGATTGTGATTGTGTGTGTGTTTATTTACAGTGATGTTGCATTCAAATACCAGTGTTGTCTCATAGTATTTAATTGTTTAATGCTCTTTGAGGGTGACTTTATTTTGATCATTTCAGAATATATGCACTTTGGAGTAAACCAAAACTTTTTTGGCCTTTTCATCCTCTGTTTACATATTGACCAAGTTTTACAAGGAAAATATTTTGACCTATATCATCCTCTGTTAGGCAGTTCCCGAATTACCTATTTTAATAGTCAGAATTCTCTATTTGGCTAGTTAAATGAATATTTTGACTCTCTTTTTACTTTGACAAATTAACACATTTGATGTTTGAAAACATGGCAACACAAATTTCTGTCTCCCACACCACACTGATTGCACCTGCACCTGCACCTGCACCTGCACCTACACCTGCACGCGTACACAAACACATTCTCCACAGTGCAATGGATTTATACGTGAACCAGTTTTCATTCACTATAGGGGAGATGTTATTTTCCTAGCCAGCCCGCAAACTAATACCAAAATTTCTTTTTACCCTTCTGAGTCTGCATGGTCAGACATTGTAAACCATCTCAGGGCAGTTAACCATCAATATGCGTGTGGTGTTTGTTTAGTTGTCTTGGTGGTGAAATTTACTATTCAGAAGATATCTTGGTCCAACTTTTGGATATGGAGAAAGTGCTGAAACCCGAGTTTCTGCAAATACAGTTAGAAGTAATTCTCACACAACCATTTGATGGGCTAAATAACACTTTGTTGGCATACCTGTTGGGGTTGGGGGTAAAGGGTGGCTTGGTTGAATTTATTTTTTCTATCGAATGATTTGATAACTTGTTTTGAAATTTAGCTCTCGTCATCATGTAGCAAAAAGCAAGATAATTTTCTTTATCCTTTCTTTTTGCAACAACATTTGGTGACGTGTTGATTTTTGTAGGGGAGATAAAAGACTAATACCCTGTACCACAAGAACGATGGCAGCGATGAGCTGATTTTAACTGTTCGATACCTTGCCAAATTATGAAGTGGAGCTTCTGGAAATGGCATCTGTGAAATCGTCTCTGAAACCTCTTTCTTTTTTGAATGCAAAACCTTCCCTTTTCTGTATGGAGTTCGATAATGAAAAATGTATCTCACTTCAAGACTGCCATGGTAAATAGTTTCCCTGTTTTGTTTAGTGTGTTGGTGGAACTGAAAACTTTTGAATGACAAACTTGTTTCTTTGCTGTCAGATCTACGCAATTGAATAGATTACTCCTCGTTTGGCAAGTGTTTATAAATAGTCGTGTTTATAAACAGATCGAAATGAATGTGGTTAATAAGTGGTTTAACACTTGTGCATTCAAAGAAATACTTGAATAAAAAGTGATTTGACTATTAGCAATTATAAACACCTGACAACTTAGTCAATGCATTCCAAAAGTTGCGGGTGTTCAGGAAAGATGGATTCTTTAGCGTATGTGTGGGAGAGCTTTTTCTCCAATTTTAGCAATTAATTGGCCGTCGTTCACTTGAACATGGGTCCCATTTTGGTAGCAATTTTTTGACATTCTAAAAATGAAATACTGAAAATGTTTGTCTATTATGAAAAATTGATTAAATGTTAAGGGCCAAAAGGTCATTCTGCATTAAAATTGTCCAAAATTGCGACTGCCATGTCTAACATTCTGCTTTAAAGTATTGTTGACAATGAAAAGTAACGGTCACAATTTAGCCCCCGTTTGACACCCATTCTCTTCCCATTCTATTTCTCATTTTTTTCTTTTTCTTCATTTCAATCACATATTCTATCAATAAAATAATATTACACATAAACCCAAAAATTCTTCTTATTTTTCAACCACACATTCTTCCCATCAATCACTATTCCAAAATTTATTCTTCACAAAAATGGGTGTCAAACATATTCTTCACAAAAATGGGTGTCAATAGTTACAAATAAGAGAGAATTTTTTTCCAGACGAGCCCTTAATATGTAATTGGGCGGTCTTTTGCTTGGATCACGTACATACTTGAAACTTGTGGCAGTTCCAATTTAGCGAATGGCCATTTTTATGGTTGCATCAATGATTGGTTTGTGGGCCTATCTCTTATTACTTTGCTGTGTACCCCTTTTCTCGGATACAATTCGAGCCTTTTGAAATATGATGGGATAAGGAGTCTTTGTTACTATATCAACGTAACTCTTCGTAAATTGTCAAAATGCAAAGGTGCATGATAAGACGTTTACGTACAGGAGAAGGAAGATGATGAGGATAAAGTGAATGTCGTCTTAAAATCATTTAGATTATTATCTCAAGGGTTTCATATTCTCAAAAGTCAATTTATATTTTTCCCTTTGATAATTGAAATAGAGTTAGGGAAGGGGTTAATTTCACAAATGGTCACTGAAGTTACCTGAAAATTTCAAAACAGTCACTGAAGTTTCAAAGTTTCAGAAACGGTCACTGAAGTTTGAAATTTTTTTCAAAACGGTCACTGAATTTTCAGATTTTTTGGCCAAGTTTGAGGCAATTTTTCGTCAACTTCCGACCACCAAAACCGTCGATTTCGGATACCTTTGGAAAGCCCACGATATCCTCTTCAATTACCACCAAAAATCTCCCCAAAACTCCAAGTGATTTGGCCGGAATAAAGCCACGAAGTCGGCAACCGAAAATTGTGAAAATCTGCCCAGATTTTCAGATTTTTTGGGCAAGTTTGAGGCAATTTTTCGACAATATCCGACCACCAAAACCGTCGATTTTGGATACCGTTGGAAAGCCCACAATGTCCTCTTTAATTACCATCAAAAATCNCTTTCCAACGGTATCCGAAATCGAAGGTTTTGGTGGTCGGAAGTTGCCGAAATATTGCCTCAAACTTGCCCAAAAAATCTGAAAATCTGGGCAGATTTTCACAATTTCCGGTTGCCGACTTCGTGGGTTTATTCCGGCAGAATCACTTGGAGTTTTGGGGAGATTTTTTGTGGTAATTGAAGAGGACATCGTGGGCTTTCCAACGGTATCCGAAATCGGCTGTTGTGGTGGTCGGAAGTTGTCGAAAAAATGCCTCAAACTTGCCCAAAATATCTGAAAATTCAGTGACCGTCTGTGAAAGAAATTTCAAACTTCAGTGACCGGTGCTGAAACTTTGAAACTTCAGTGACCGTTTTGAAATTTTCAGGTAACTTCAGTGACCATTTGTGAAATTAACCCGTTAGGGAAGCATGTCTGGGTGATTCCTTATAATTTAGTGTCAAAATTAAATATTAATTTTGAACTGTACATCTCCAAGACAGTCGTTACTTACTCACCTTTCAATTCTATTGCACTATAGTTTTAGCATATTTTACCCATACAGGAATATTCCGGTCCAGATCCATAGCCCACCCAGTTAGAAACCCATTAGCCCACCATCCAGGTCCAATACAAATGGGCCAAAGCCTCAAATTAAATCCAAATCTCCCCTCTCGCCTGTTGTTCCGTTCCCGCCCGTGCTCGGCAGTCTACAGTCCGTACTCTCCCTGAATCCCAATTTCTTTCTTCCACTTCCAGCCGCAGCCCTCCATACCTTCGTATGGCCTGTAAATTTCTGCTTCCAGGCTCCAGCCGCAACATTTGAGGTGAATCTATTGAAATTTCAATTTCAATAAGTATTAATGCTGAATCTTTACAACGTTTTGTTCCAGAATGTTGTTTTGCTATGTGTGTATTTCATTCTTTGGATAATATTCTAAGATTTTATCCTAAACTTTGGATCTTTTTGCTACTTGAAATTAGTTTATGGTTTAGGATAAAATTAGTTCAGAGTACAATATGAGCACCATGAATACAACTATACTAGAGATTTATTTGTCATTATGACATGGCAATGGAACTCTGAAAAGATTGTTTCAAGTCTGTGGTGAGGCATTATCCTCAATAGTCTAAGGAGCGTAAGATGTTTCTGTTAGTGCTGGGGTTTATGTATTGAGGTTGATGGTTACCAGATATAGCACAGGAATACGTTACTGGTAAATACTTGGAGCGTTTATAAATAAAGAAATGCCAGGTTCTTTGGACATCAGTATATCCTATAACCTAGCTCAATATGGGAATAGAGTAGCCATTTTTGGCTTCCTTTTGACGCAATGGTTAGGACCCTTTCTAGGGATAGCATTGGTAGATTTACATTAGTGTTGGAAGCCTCCTTTCTATTCTTGTCACTTTCTTTTTAAATAAGTACAAAAGAGAACGCATGAAGCATAGTAATAGAATGCACTGCATTACACGGCAAGCACACCACCATTTATTTTGGAAGGAAATTACACTTTAACACCCATTTGGTTTTGTTAAAAATTGATAGAAGTTGATGAAACGTGTGGTTGAAAAGTTGTAAGTTCCATGAGATGTGTGGTAAAACTTAATTGTTGACTTTGACTTAGATTTTCATCAACCTTTTTAGCTAAACCAAACATGGGCTTGAACAAGGAAACAATCACTCCAGCTACAATACATGTTTCAGGGACTGTTCTGCTTTTTCTTAACTATAAGATCATTCTTATTTTCTTTGAATCCAATCTTTACAGGGACTGGCCAGTGTTCCTATTTCCTATGCTTGAAACTTGAAAGTTAAAATTTCTCTTATGTTTTTCCCCTTATGGTAATGTTTCTTTTGTGGTTATTTCATTCGACATTAAACCCTGTGTTAGAGTTGCACTCAAAAAAATTTGAATGATTTTTGACTGAACAGTTTTTGCTTTTCAATGCTTTTTCTGATTAAGTCTCTCCTGTACTTCTTCTTATTGTTCAAGTGTAAAATTAAGACTCTATTGGCTCTTGCAAACAATTATTTTGTTTGGTTTATCCCTCTGAAATGCATTTCTCCTTGCATTTGTACCCTCTCGTAGAATTCTAATCCATAATAAAGATGTTCTCACTTGGTTGCATTCCTTCATGTTTTGAATTTTATTTTATATATCGTATTGCATCGCATTTCAAGTATTATTCAGATTCCTGACAAATGCTCGAAGGCTAAGAATTTTTTGATATGTACTACAGAGAATATTGGGGCAATTTTCCTTTTTAATCCTAGATTGCTTTTAGTCTTTCGCTATCGTTTCTGTATCCCATACTTCTATTGCAGTGAATCAGTTTTGCATTTTTGTTTCTACTTTAGTACTATGATATTTATTATTCCATTTCATCGCAAGTTTTTGTTCTTCATTTTTTTTTATTTGCTGCAACTTCAGTAGATAATGTCATATTAGGACGTTGTCTGTGATATATGAATTTTGTTCTCAACCATAGAGATACCCATCACATTTTTATTTTTTGTTAATTTTCTTTTTTAGCAGTAAAATTATGACTACACACATACGAATGCCTTACAGAGCAAAGTGTGGACTTTTCATCGGTATCTTACAAAATAATTTTAATTTTTTTCTCAATCAATATTTTTTCTGTTATTTTGTTTTGTGTGCTCGGGTTTAGGGTTATAACTTCATGTAACTTCTTGTATTACTGTAAAATATATCTGGAGGAGTGACATCTATTGATATCTTTTTCATTCGAGAAAACTAGCATTGAAAATTTTGAATAAGTTGTTACGTGACAATTGTTAAAATGGACATTATTTTTAGTTTCTTCAACCGAACTCTGGTACGCATTATTCTGTTGTACTAAATCTGCTCTTCATTAGTTCCAGCAATGGGTTTTCGTGTTTCCTAAGAAAGAAAGGAAGATATTCACATCTGGAGGCCTGAAAGTTTTTACAATTGTTTGAGTTTGAGGATACTCGATAATTTTTTTTTTAGGGGGGCTATTTATTTAGCCATTCAAACCAGTTTAGAGTTTGTATTTATGCAGCTGGGACCTCTTCTTTCCCTTTAGTCTTTTCCTTTTGTTTCTTTTTCAATCTCGATTTGGGAATTTTACTAAAAAAATAGAAAAATATAAAGATAATACAGTTTAACTACTGAAAGAACAAGGATTGCTATACTGCAACTGACGATTATTTTTTCTTTTGGCATTCTCTTGTTTCTTCAATCTTGGTTTTGAACTTCACTTTCTTGAAGCTTTCATTGTAGCTGTAGATATGGCTAACGAGTTTCTGGGCATTTGTTTCTTCTCTCTCTTTCTCTCAGCAGGGAGAATAAGTATTTGATAAAGGAAAATTTGCATCGGGCTGTCAATTGCAATGGCTTCAACAGGACAACTAGCATCGTCCTTAAAGCGATCTGCAATAAGAGATGAGGATCAGCTTATTGTAACACCTTTGGGCGCTGGTAGTGAAGTGGGACGATCCTGTGTTCACATGTCTTACAAGGGAAAAATTGTTATGGTACAAGGACTATAGAATTGATGCTGTGTTATCTGTTATTTCTTTGACATCTCGATTCTTATTTTTATTAACTAATTATATTTCTTTTTGTTTAATGGTAGTTCGACTGTGGTATTCATCCAGCTTTCTCAGGAATGTCTGCACTGCCTTACTTTGATGAAATCGATCCTTCACGTATTGATGTTCTTCTTATTACCCAGTATGCTCTTCGTTCATATTTTTCTCTTGTGTATATTTAGACTTAAGGTTCCATCTCAAAAGGTAAGCCTTGTTAACGTGAGTAGCCCAAACCTTTATATGTTGGTTAATATTTCATATCTTAATCGATGTGAGATTTTCCCTTAATTGCTCATCCAAGATGGTGGCTTGTTTGAGTACACGTTATTCCCAATAACATGACTCGGTAACTGACCGCTTCTTCCAAATTGCACCCATTCGTTCCAAACCTGCAGCTTACAGCAGTGCTCTGACCAGTTGAACTACAATTCCTAGGAACAATCTTGGACCGTTTACTCGTTTAAGCATTAGATGCATAGAATTGCTCATTTGAGCTTGTTGGGTCTTGATATTGTATTGAGAATTGGGGTCCCATCTTAAAAGATCAACGTTGTTATTTTGTTTGATACACCACTTTCGACCCTTAACTTTCTCTTTACTTGCAAAAACCCGAACTATTCATCTGCAATTGTAACTTTTCAGTTTACCTCTAATCATGAGTATTGAACTTTTTAGTCTGCCGTTTCCCATTGTGATGTTTTTTCTTCTCTGAATTTGTTCCTTATTCTACTCTCATAAGTTGCTTTCCTACTTCAGCTTCCACTTGGACCATGCTGCTTCCCTTCCCTATTTCCTGGAGAAGGTTGGTTGGTTTTGTCATGAACTTCCATTCGACCATAAATTTGCAATTTTCTTTACTGATATTTTCACTACCTGTTCAACAGACTACATTTAAAGGCCGCGTTTTTATGACGCATGCAACAAAAGCTATCTACAAGTTGCTTTTATCAGATTATGTTAAAGTGAGCAAGGTCTCAGTTGAAGATATGTTGTTTGATGAACAAGACATTCTTCGGTCCATGGATAAAATTGAGGTGTATTGAGATCCTTCATGTGTGGCCATTTATCAATTTCATAACTGTCTGAAATTGGGACATTTTTAATTACTGTACAACTTAGCCGTCTGAAATATACCAATTCCTTGTTCCAGGTTATTGACTTTCATCAGACTCTAGAAGTTAATGGTATCCGCTTTTGGTGTTATACTGCTGGTCATGTCCTTGGTGCTGCCATGTTTATGGTTGACATTGCTGGTGTTCGTGTTCTCTACACTGGAGACTATTCGCGAGAAGAAGATCGTCACCTTCGAGCTGCTGAGCTCCCCCAGTTCTCCCCAGATGTTTGCATTATTGAATCAACTTATGGTGTTCAACTCCACGAGCCACGACATATACGCGAGAAGCGCTTTACTGATGTTATTCACTCTACAGTTACTCAAGGTGGTCGTGTTCTAATTCCTGCTTTTGCCCTAGGCCGTGCTCAAGAACTTCTCCTGATCCTGGATGAATACTGGTCAAGTCATCCTGATCTTCACAAAGTCCCTATATATTATGCTTCGCCACTTGCAAAACGGTGCATGGCTGTTTATCAAACTTACATTAATGCCATGAATGAAAAGATCCGGAATCAATTTGCCAACTCGAACCCATTTGATTTCAAGCACATCTTTCCGTTAAAAAGTATTGATGAATTTAATGACACAGGTCCATGTGTGGTTATGGCAAGCCCTGGTGGGCTTCAGAGTGGTTTGTCGCGACAGCTGTTTGATAAATGGTGCTCAGACAGGAAAAATGCTTGTGTCATACCTGGGTATGTTGTGGAAGGGACATTGGCTAAGACTATAATTAATGAGCCTAAGGAAGTTACCCTCACGAATGGCTTGACTGCTTCCCTAAATATGCAGGTCCATTATATTTCCTTCTCAGCGCATGCAGACTATGCTCAAACGAGCACATTCCTGAAAGAGCTAATGCCTCCCAACATTATTTTGGTTCATGGTGAAGCAAATGAGATGGGAAGGCTCAAACAGAAGCTCCTTTCTGTCTTTGCTGATGGAAACACCAAAATCATAACCCCGAAGAACTGCCAATCTGTAGAAATGTATTTCAATTCTCAGAAAATGGCAAAAACTATTGGAAAGCTGGCTGAAAAGACACCTTCAGTTGGTGAAACTGTGAGTGGTTTACTTGTTAAAAAGGGCTTCACCTATCAGTTTATGGCTCCTGAGGATCTTCATGTATTCTCTCAGCTATCCACTGGGAATATAATTCAAAGGATTACTATCCCGTACTCTGGCGCCTTTGCTGTTATAAAGTACAGGCTTAAGCAGATATATGAAAGTGTGGAGTCATCAACGGACGAGGAATCAGGGGTTCCCACTTTGCTAGTGCACGGTCAGGTCACAGTGAAGCAGGAATCTGAAAATCATCTTTCCGTGCATTGGACAGCGGATCCAATTAGTGATATGGTATCCGACTCCATTGTGGCTTTGGTTTTAAACGTCAGTAGGGAGATGCCTAAGTTGGTGGTTGATTCCGAACCCGTAGTAAACAAGGAAGAAGACACAAAGAAAGCTGAAAAAATCGTTGATGCACTCCTTGTTTCCTTGTTTGGAGACGTTAAATATGGGGAAGACGGGAAGCTGGAGATCAACGTTGATGGGAATGAAGCTCAACTAGACAAAGAAAGTGGCGTGGTCGAAAGCGATAGGGAAGACGGGAAGCTGGTGATCAACGTTGATGGGAATGTAGCTCAACTAGACAAAGAAAGTGGCGTGGTCGAAAGCGATAACGAAGGTCTTAAGGAACGAGTTAAGATGGCATTCTTGCGTATCAAAAGTGCGGTGAAGCCAATCCCTCTTTCGGGATCTTAGCTTTTTTCTTATTCGTTCCCCTACTCCCTGAATCTGTTTTTCGTATTTGATTAGTGTTACTACTTGTATGGTAACTGTAGACCGAACACTCATTCTCATTAGCATAGTATGTTGGGTGATGTGTATCTTACAGTTTGTTGCATTAATGACTAACTGACTGGGTTGTAGTTTGTTCAATGCTTTAAAATGGACATATACGAGTGAAGCAATGTACATTTACAGTCAAAAGGTCGAACATCTGACCCTACGAATCATATCAGAACAAAGTGTTAGTTTAAAGTATTATAGATATGGGAAAATTGCAGCAGTGGTCTTTAACCTTTCAAAAATATGTATCTGGAGTCCAAATGGATAAAATCTATCCACTTTTTCGTTAGTTGACTAAAAAATTATTTTGACTATATCTTAACTATTTTTAAAGGGGTAAAATGGTAACTTTATATTTTTCTATTATAAAAATTTAAATATATTATATAAAAAATTAGGGAAAAGAAAAAAAGAAATGGAATATTCATCTTCTTTCTCACCCCCACCCCATCAAAACAAACCCGAGACCAAAGCCCCGCTTTTAAAGAACCATCACGTGTACCAACCACCACCACAATATCCCTGAATCCATCATCTAATGCATATGCAAGTTTCTACAAAGATCCACATTAAAATTTCTAGATTTAATTCAGCTAATACATGGTAGCGGCACCTAATTCAGTTTAGAAATCAAAGGGCGATGACATGTTATTTGTTGGCGATTGCTAGTTCGAATTCATTTTCTGAACCACTGCCTTTTTGGCACTCTACACTAAATTACGAGTGCTTGATTTGTAGAACAACACTCTTTTTGGTGCAATTTATTGATGCATCTGGTACGGATTTATGCGAATAAATCACCACCACCATCACAACCACTGATTTGGCCGTGTATCAAATGTTAAGATTTGAAATTCCATCTTTTAAGGTCAACCTTATTAAGAGAAGTAACTCAATCCTTTATAAGTTGGTTTATATTTACATCTTTATTCGATGTGAGATTATATCCCTTAACATGCCCCAACAAGATGGTGGCTCGTTTGAGCAGACCAATCTTGAAATTTTTATACTTACTTTTGGACTCTTAACCAGATCGTATTGCTCGTTAGAGTTTAATGGACTTTGATACCATATTAAAATTTGGGGTTTTATCTTAAAATGTCAATCTTATTAAGAGGAGTAACCCAGACCCTTTATAAATTGGTCTATGTTTTCATCTTTATTCGATGTGAGATTCCATCCCTTAATATGCCCCCACAAGATGGTGGTTCGTTTGAGTAGACCAATCTTGAAATCTGTGTGCTCATTTTTTTGAGTCTTAATCCGATCGAATTGCTCGTTGGAGTTTAATGAGCTCTGATACCATGTTAAGAATTGATGTTCCATCTTAAAAGGTCAACCTTATTAAAAGGAGTAACACAATCCTTTATAAGTTGGTTTATATTTACATCTTTATTCAATGTGGGATTCTATCCCTTAACATCAAATTGCCACAGCCACCCAGCAATGATTTGACGAATTCAAATGAAAGCAAAGATGATGTTCAAAAATCAGAATCCAAATGGAGACGCTGCGTCGTATGCCCTAGCCGCGTCTTCAACAGATTCAAACGTACCTAGCCAGATCCATTCACCTCCATTTACCTTCCTACCGTATGAGATGGGTGGCTATGGCTGATTGGCCAGCGATGGTGTCGACGTTGCTGGTGGTTGAGGAAAAAGGGATGGTGCATAGGGATAGGGTGGGGGTTTGAAGGAAGCCACTTTTTTTTTTTTAATGATTTTTTTTGTTTAATGTGATCATTCTAAAATCACCATTTTACCCCTATTATTTTGGTCAAAATTGATCAAAGTCCACTTTTTTGGTCAACTAACGGAAAAGTGAACAAATTCCATTTATTTGGACTCTAATGCATATGTTTGAAAGGTTAGAGACCGTCGCTGTCACAAATGAAAAGTTAGGATAAAATCTGCAAAAATTAAAATGATTAGGAACAGCTGCTGTAATTTTCCCAGAGACGTGTACTTATATGTTTCAAAAACATGGTATTGCATATGAAGATGGCTTTTTGAAGGGGGCCCTACACATTTCTTGTCATATTCCAAGAATTTGTGGGTAACATGTAAATTTGACTTGTTAAATTGGAATTATGTAAACTTTCCAAACTTGTTTATCGTGAAAAAGAATAATATGTATCTTTTTTGCTGTTCTAGGCTTGCACAAAGACTGGACCCCATCACAACTTGGTTTCACATTGGCAATTTGATATCATGAAAGTATAAAGCACATGCTTTCATATATAGAATCCAAAAACTCCCCTAAACCATAATAATGCCTAGTTGACTTGACAACCCACTATGTGTACTGCCAAGATGTTCGATTCAGGCTTATGCTCTCGATTGTTTATTATTACAATATTGAAAATAGTTAAACTCGTGTTCATTTTTTTTTAACGAAGAAATGTTCGTTGTCAAACATATGAATTCAAATGTTATCGTCTTTTTCATTGGAATCTTGATTTCAAAGTCTACAAGTTTTGATAAGTAACATAACAGTGAGTATGTTGATTGTTATTGTCAGTGCTAAATGAAATGTAAGCAAAGTCTTCCAATGGAAGTCATAATTTATTGAACTATGAGCTGTAAAGATACTGCCCACCCCACCCCACTCCACCCCACCCCACCTCAGTACAAGATTTATTCTATTATTTATAGCTGTAAATTAGTCTTAAAGTCTTAGTTACAGTAAAACATTGAGTTTACTGGATCAAAACTTGTACCCTTTCCCACAAGAAATGCCCATTGCTAGTTGTCATTCTACCATGGTCAAATGTAAATCCAAGTGTTTGGTCGGTTAATCTAGGAAACGGTTCCTAGCTTGCTGTTGCTGTCCCCCTTGGGATGACCCAGTGCGGGTGGTCAACTAAGGAACATGAAACACTGTAATTGAACTGATTCTTCGATGAATTTTAAACACGATATTCAATCATCGTGATAACAATTTAAAAGATAATATAAAAATAATATACTTTTATTAGTTATAACTTATAAGTAATATCAAGATTCAACATGATTTTATATGACTTAAAAGTAATTCAAATAATCTTTTTATTGTTAATTTATACACTTTATTTTTTGTGAAACTTCTATTGACTATTTAAAAGAAAAAGAGAGTTTAGTATGGTATAAACCTATATGATATCCACCAATAATTCTTGCTTAGCCCCCCTTTGGAACACATTTTTGCTCTAAGAATGCATTTTTTTGGTTGATGTGACAGGGGAATATGTAGTTGAAAAAGAAAAAAAAGTACTGATGTGATGTAAAATGTTATTTTATTGAAAAACGTGTGATTGAAAATGAGTAGAAGAATGATAATAAAAAAAATAATGTGGCTCGAAAATGAGCTTAGTGGGTTTTGAGATAAAGAATTATTCTACTCTACCAGATTTTGGTTCACAGATTTTGTACAGACTATCTCACATGAGGTGGGTCCCGAGGACCTAACTCATTAAAAAAACCCCCCAAAAATGTTAAAACACCCACCCACCCCATCTCACATGGCTGTGCCAGGTCTTTTACCGACCTAGCACAGCAGCTCGGTTCTTATAAATATTTAAGTTATTTTTTACTTACATTTCGAGGAATATACGAATACTAACCAACGTATCTATCACTTATTTTTATCCATTTATAATTTAAACGATTTATAAATAGTTGTCAAACATATTATTAGTATTTACTATATTAATTTAAAGATCTTTAGATTTAAAATTGTAAAATACAGACTATAAAAACAACAAAAACACCTCATTTTGGCTGTCAAAAATACTCAATCCAAGAAAACCTGTATCATATAGGGACTAGGGAGAGAGAGAAACATCCAGGGATAAATAAGCAAACAAATACAAGGCAAAGGGGGGGCTTTCGCCAAAGAAGAAGAAGAAGAAACCCTAAAAAAATGGAATTTGATTAAGCTTCGATTAATTTGTTTTTTGGGTTTTCTTTATATTACATTGCCAAGATCTTTATTCGCCAATATGTCAAGGTTAGCATTTCATTGAATTCTAAACCTCCTCGTCAGCATGTAATTGAATACAGTCTGATTGGG